GGGGTGCGGGGGTGGGTGGGTGCGTGGGCGGCGGTGGTGGGTGGGGCGCGGGCGGGAGCGGGGCGGGGCGGGTGGGTGGGTGGGGGGGACCAGACTCCAGAGTGCTATGAGATACCATTGAGACCACTGGGCACCATCCATCTGCCCCCATCGACCACCTTCGGCTCCCACGGCCCATCTGGCTCAACAACGGCCCGCCCAGGTGCGCACTGGCACCAGCGGGGATATCTCGGAGCGCAGGGCGCAGGGGGCTGCCCAAGGCCTCCGCTGGCAGCGGCGAGCTTTGGCCGCGCGGCCGACGCGGCGAGGGGTCCGGGCACTACAGGATGATCCAGAGTCGCGGGGGGCACGCCAAGAACGAACCAAGACATGAAAATCGACCAAGAAGGAAAAGGCAGTCAGTAGAAGAGGGCGCGCGTCGACTGCGAGCTGGCACTCAGGCAAGAGGGGTGGATCTAGTGGAGTGACGAGGAGAAGCTTCGCCATGGAGGAGACCAGTACATCGCAAAGGAACAAGTGTGCCGCGAGCAGAAAATCGTAAAAGTTGAGGAAGGACCTTGGACAAAAGCCACGCAACCAGAGGAACAGTAAGGTAATCGAGAAGTCAAAGGAGATGTCAAAGGCTCTGTTGGAGGGCATCAAGAAGAACGGGGGTATCTTCGCAGCCCCCAGCAATGAGACGCGCAGAAGAGTACGACATCATGCTGAACAAGTACATGGCCATAGACGTAAATGGCGAAGATGCGCTGAAGGCAGCCAAGCAGGAGCTAGAAGAGAAGGAGAAGGAGCTGCATGAGGAGCGATAACACGCAGCTGTTCAACGCGTGCAGGAGGAGCACAGGACGGGGCGTAAAAAAAGGACTGCGCCCGCCCGCGCGGACCGGCCTTCCCCAGCGAGCTGCGGCGGAAAGGCCCCGGCCCCAACTCGAGGGGAGACCAATGGAAGTTCTGGCGCAAAGTGGACTGGAAGCAGCTGGCGACGACGCAGGAGAGCATCCCCGAAAACGAGCGCATGAAAGAGTGGGTGGACAAGATGAAAAAGGACTTCGGCGAGGACTACGAGAAGTGGCCCGACATCGGGTGCAGGGCGAAGTTCCACCCGTACAAGCGTGCGCCATATATGGTGGTGGAGCTCAAGGTAGGAGACAAGTGGGAAGCGTTTGTAGCAGAAAGAGTGCCGCAGCAGCTCGACGACGCCATCAAGGGAAGCCACTACAACTTCTACGACGCGGCCCAGAAAATAAGCCCAGAGGAGCTGTGCGAGCTGATCCCACCGTCCTCCCCGACGACGCATCAGGTCGGGGGCTGCGCGCTGTTCCCAAAATGCCCAGTGGACGTGTCGGAAACTGCAGGAAGGAGGTTCCTCTGCGCGTAGCTGGTGCGAGCTGGCGCTGCGTATCTCGAAGAACGACGCGGAGAACCAACACCGCGCCATGGAGGCAGCCACGAGGGAGATGTAGGATGAGACGAATCTCGGTCAGGAACAGGTCGAGAGGGCTGAAGAAACGCCAGCAGCTCCGCGACAGCACGAAGTCCCCGCTGGACGGCACAGGTTTCTTCGAGAGGCACGCGAAAGCAGGCGAGGCGGCCAGCGCCAGCGGCCGCGCGTGAGGGGACTAACTTGCAGCGCCAAGAAGAGCACTAGCGGGAATATCTCGGATCGGACTCTAGGTCGACAGGACGGGCTCGGATGGGGCCATCGCTAGCGGGAACATTTCGGCGTGAGGGCCCTTAGGAGAGAGATCGCTCAGATAACGTGTTGGATATTGTTTTTTGGAGTGCCGACAGGTACAATACTGCAGGGGGCGACGAGTGGAAAACTAGACCACCACAAAGGCCACTGGAACGCATCTTTCATGGCCCCTCCTCATTGGCATCGACAATGACACGGATGGCTCACACATTGGGCAAACAGCATCTTACACGCCGTGTCAGATAGGTATGTTCGCCCCTACTTACATGCCGAACCGAGGGGGGTCATCAAAGTACAAGTGGAATGCTACTGCAGAAAATCAGGGTACAGACACGACATTGCATGGGATAACCAACGGCCAGCACGTCCAGGATGAAAAGTGCGCCGAAAGAGAGAGAGAGAGAGAGAGAGAGAGAGAGAGAGAGAGAGAGAGAGAGAGAGAGAGAGAGAGAGAGAGAGAGAGAAAGAGAGAGAGAGAGAGAGAGAGAGAAAAAAAAAAAAAAAAAAAAAAAAAAAAAGAGAGAGAGAGAGAGAGAGAGAGAGAGAGAGACCCCCAAAAAAGAGACCCTGTTAGGAATGAGGGAACAGCAGATCGTGGCCATAATGTAATTCGCCCCCCCCCCCCCCCAGCAAAACTTGGCACGAAAGGCCCTTTCTGCATCCCCTCCTTTCCTCTTTGCGTCGAATGAGGTCGCGTCGTCGTTCTCCCCCTTCGCTTAGGGGCCCTGTTCGCCGAGCGCGTCCCCGGTGTCGTGGGCACGCGAGAGAACCAACAGCTGCTCCCCACGCGCTGACCCGCAAGGGCTC